CTCAGCTTGTCTGCTGCGATATGTTTATATTCAGGTGATTTTTTCTTTTTGATAGCATCTTTAAGATGGCTTATATATTTATTGCCATCAATGTCGACAACGAAGGCGCACGTGACAGGTTGTCCTCTAACTAGACAGATGAGAGATATTGGTGACATTATGTTTTTTTTTTTCTTATTTTTTTCTTTTTTTTTTCAGTGGAAAGAAATGATGTGAATTATATAAAAGACCGAATTTCACAAAGCTCGATTAAGAAACAATGGACAAAAGATAAAATGACGTTTCGTAGTATAGATGCAATCATTTCCATACAGAAGTGTGTTTTGTACAATATTATTTTTACAAAATGTTTAGGTTTCTTATTTCGAACTTTTTATGTTTTTATAAATTTTGAGGCAACAGATAAAAAGTTACCAACATCAACCAACTTCAGTTATCCCAGAATTTGAAATCATCGAAATCGATTGCTGCCAAATCCAATTACATAGGTACCAATAATTTAATAAAGGATTCTAAAATAAAATCAGAGAAAATAATATGGTTTGCTGTAATAAAACAGATACAGATTGAAAGTTGAAAAAAAATTTGTAGCAAGGTGATTCAACCCTATATTAGAAATCTTTAAGTTCATTTACTTATCGAACTCATAACATATCTAAATTCTTACTAGTATTTGAATGACTCATGGATCATATAAGAATAAAAAATAAAAATAAAAAAGGCCATTACGTAATAGTTTAATCTATTGCAATTAATATTTTCATATAGAAACATAGAAACTTTTTTAAATTTTCCCACAGTATGCATGATACAGATCATATCGGAAAGGTTTTTCCTTGTGTAATTTGAGAATGAATCATTTTCGATGATTTGGGAACCAAGAATCGTTGAAAATAGATTAGTATCATCAAAATACGTATATGACAGCGATAAAACCGAATTTGTAAAAGAAAATGATAGTTCATTGATTTTTTTTGGCTCAAATGAATGCTATAAATCATATCATTATTGTCATAGGACCAATTTGGGATTTTTTTTTTTTTTAGCAGGAAAAAAGAATAAAATAAATTTAATCAAGATAACCTATCATGACTTTCTCATGAAAATATATAATATATATAATCATATATTTTTATATAAATTTAGTTTGGAAAATTTGACCATAGTTATAAGTAATCGGTTTACAATAATACAGCCCATGATTACTCGGTTTTAAAGCATTTTACGTATAAAGAAGGGCTTACATTTAATGCTAATTTTCAGCCTCATAGAATTTGTGTAAATCACAACTTATACTTTGTATTTATTTATTTTTTTTTAATTTTTTATTTGAATTATTATTTAAATCTTTCTCTTGAAGTTAATTAGATTCTTTCTAAATTCGACACCTTGCACCGAACTTTCATAATTATCTGTAATATGTAACTTTATTTTTCAGTGATAACTATATCAATCACACTCCGATGGATCTGCCAATGCTTTAAACTGAGAAAATTGCTTATGCAAATATGAATTGAATTGAATATGGAGCTTTATAACTTCTTCTGTTTCTAAATTTTTCATTTGTTTGTTAAAAATCCAGAAGGAATAAACTTCTGTATCGGATATATATGACTTTATAGCTTGTGCTTACAATAACAGATAATGAATGATACATTATACTATGTTCCAATGGTTTTGTTATAGTGACAAAATCATTTTGAATTCGAAGTCACCTCTGTTTAATGAAATTCGCGTCGAGTTTATATGAAAATAATGAATTAAAATTCACCGGTTCACGTGATACGCTATTTTGGAGGAAATTTTATTCGCAATAGTAATTGCATAATAATATTTTACAGCTGTTTTCAAAAAGATGTGGAAAACGATTTCCATATACCCATATGGGGAATCAGAGAATTTGAAAATTCCAATTAGTAAAAATTAAGGAACCGATTGGAGCGGGTCTTGAAAACTTTGGAAATCTTGGACATCTTGGCGAATTTCCCGTAATATGATGATCTGCCCATTCCACATCTTTTTGAAAACAGCTATAATCCCTTGTTAAATCATATACGTATAGAATTTGGGAACTTATAATAACCTAGCCTAGCAGGTGTAAATGGCGCGTCCGATAACATCTCGTGGCTCAACTACTTGATGCATACATATGGTTATTTCAGTATTTCGGTAAAATAAAAGCAAGGGGCCGTTAAAAGTAATTAAAAATAAGCTTTTTGCGAGCTGTACGTACGTAAGTTGTATGTGAATATACGTACGTACGTACGTAATAGCAAAACCAATTTCGATCGTTTAAGGAACATCAGAAAATTAAGCAAATGATTATTACGAAAATTAAAAAATACTCAAATACTCAGGTCACCAAATTTTACTAAGAAACTTAAGCTAAATTAAGTACCATTCCGTTATAATGAGATATTGTAAATCGTAAATTTGCGCAAATTTGCAATATCTGCAAAAATCGTAAATTTGCGCAAACTTACGATTTACAATATCTGCAAAAATCGTAAATTTGCGCAAACTTACGATTTACAATATCTCGGGCTGGAGTGATCCGATTTTAATGATTTAACCACCATTAGAACCGGAATGACTCGTTGAACAACTTTACTTAACATAAGTTTGCAAAGTTTCTTAAACAAAATTTGGATTTTTAGAAATTTCTGTCAATCTACGAAGTAATCGTAAAATTTACGGTGACTTACGTTTTTAATTTTGCTGATTAAACTTTATTGCTGTGAAACTTTATGCCGGATAATAATACTAATAGAGTAAATTTTATAAGTCATAAGGTCATTACAAATAATTAGCCAATAGGTCATAGCAGGTCTAGACAACACTGATTTGATGAAACCTAATCTATTTTTCAATGAATGAATCAAAAACGAATTACACAAGGAAAAACTTTTCCGATTGTGATATGTGTTCTATAAGAAAAGATTTCCAATACAAGGTTGTTGAGTCACCTCATAAAAATTTTTTTCAATTTTCAATTTGTTGTATCCGTTTTGCTACAGCAAACCATATGATCTTATCATAGAGTTAGCGAATTTCTTAATAACGATTTTTTGATGATTTACATTTGTTCTCATTAAATTCTGGGATAGTCGACGTCGGTAACTGTTTAACTGTTGCCAAAGCTTATGAAAACAGCTGTAAAATGTTCAAAATTAAAAATAATTGTTGTACAAAACACTTCTGTATGGAAAATGATTACATTTATACTACGAAGCGTCATTTTATCTTTTGCTCATTGTTTCTTAATTGAGCTTTGTGAAATTCGGTCTTCTATATAATTCACATCATTTCTTTCCACTGAGAAAAAAATAAAATAAAATAAAATAAAACACACAATGTCACGAATATCTCTTATCTGTCTAGTTAGAGGACAACCCGTCACGTGCGCCTTCGTTGTCGACATTGATGGCAATAAGTATATAAGCCATCTTAAAGATGCTATCAAAAAGAAAAAATCACCTGAATATAAACATATCGCAGCAGACAAGCTGAGGTTATGGAAAATCGAAATTTCTAGTTCACACGATAAAGAAATAGCCAATTACTCTCTTGATAGTCAAGACGAACTTCATGCTACTAGTCGTATCGACAATTACTGGGAAGCGAATCCACCCGCAGAACACGTCCATGTAATAGTTGTACCGCCTGGAACCGATATTGTATCCTCTGAAGAGCGAAAACAAGATACCTCCTCAGAAACTGTATCTCCTAAGAAGCGTAAAGAGTCAACATCGCAAAAAAAAGCATCTAATAAAAAACAGAATAAAGTGGAATCACCGGTAACCTCAACTAATAAAAAACAGAATAAAGTGACACCACCGGCAACTTCAACTAATAAAAAAAAGAAAGAAGTGGCACAACCGGAAACTACATCTAATACGAAACAGAATGAAAAATCAACAACTGCATCCAATAAGAAACGAAAAGAAGTGTCGCCACCAGAAACTAAGCCCAATAATAAACGTGAAAAATTGACGTCATCACCAGTTGCACCTGCCAAGAATCGTAAAACGGTGACCGAGACGCCAACTAGTACACCTCAGGATGCCCGTTTACGTAAACTTGACAAAATTTTGAATGATTTATCAGCTGACGTAATGGAGGATATTAAAACGAACAAAGATACAGATACCTTCGTTCCTGAATCTCTTAATGAGCTATGCAAACAAATAGAAAATCTAGAAAATCGCACCAATCTTTATTACTTCAAGCTTGGTAGAGCACTTCAAGATCGACTTGAAGATCTTATAGAGAAAAAACATAAGAATGCTCGAGAGCTACTTAACACTGAAGTTAGTGGTCATTTTACTGCCGGCACTGATTTCAAGAAGGAAATATCAAAGGCTCAAAAGATATACGAATTTTTCAACGATTTACATGTAGGTGAAAACAGAATTGATCGAGTTCAAGCCAGTCCGACTACGATTTCGTCACTTACAAAAGATGATGTTAGATATATAAGAGGAAAATTTACGAAATCAGATTATTTTTTAAATCTTCCTTTTGATGAAGTTTAAATTCTTTCTAAATTCAATGCCTTGCACATTATCTGTAATATGTAGTAGTGTTTGTAGTCGGTTCTTAAATATCGACTGACTAAGTCGATAAAATAAAAAACGGCTTAGCCGGCTTAGTCGACTAAGTAATAATCATGCAAAAATTAGATACCCGGAATGTAGTCATGGACGGGGTGTTATCAATAGAAACAGTCCATTTTTATTAGGGTTGTTAATGGGTTGGGTTGGGTTGGTTTGGGTTGATCCAGTCTTCAACCCACTCCACTAAATTAGACCTACTCCAATGTTTTGCTCCGGGTTGCTCCATAATACTCCGGGTTGCTTCAGGTTGCTCCAAATTTAAAGGCACAATTTTAAACCCACTCCAATTTGGGTTGGGTTCTACTCCGGAGTGCTCCGGAGTAAGCTACTCCATTAACAACCCTTATTATTTTTATTTTTTTTTTAGCGCTTAGTTGAGTGTTGTGCAATGGATATTTTCCTTTTTAGAAGTAAATGGTATGAGTTAATTGGATAGTTTGATCGATTTGGTAAGGTTGGTTGCCTTATGGGGAACTTATTAGTTACACAAATAAAAATGATTGTAAAAAATACTCGCATATCTCAGAGCGCGAATCTAAATTAGTGCTACGTTATATTTGTGCGATGAGAAGAGATGCGCTATTATCCGCTCAAAAAAAATTTTTGCTTATCGAATAAAGGTTCTTTATATATAAAAAAACTAAATGAACATCACTCATCAGATGATAAGAATTTATTAATTGAATTCTTTATTTTATGTAATCAGATTAACCAAAAATATACAACAAACAACTTGTACAAAAAAAGATTTAAATTTTTAAACTCAGTATCAATATCGATCTTAAAGTGTTAATAAGAAAAATTTTAGAAACACCAAATCACCTTATTAATAATATTCTCTTGCGTGATTCACTTAACATAAAAATTAGCTCAAAAAAAAATACTTTTCTTTATATGAATTAATGTTCTATTATTCGTAACTATATTTGGTAAATTAGTACATGTCACAAAAATTTTCAACTTCAATTTTTTCATACTAGATAATAAATATATATAAAAAATCTATACTAAAGATATATTAAAATTTCAATTATGAATCATTAATACATTTTACACATGAGTAATGCTGAGAAAAAGCTCTTATCAGACTTTTAATTATATTTTGTGACTAACAAGATCTATTTAACTTTCTAAAAAATATGTCCATCACAAAATATAATTGAAAACCCGATGATAGGTTTTCCCTTGACCAAATTTATATACTAACAATTGCAGCTAAAAAGTATTATGATAGAACCCATTATCGGACTTTTAATTAATTATCGATACTAAACCTTCGATCAAAATTTTTTTGCTAAATACCATTCTAAAATTTTTTTTAATTAATTACATAATATATAAAAAATCCAAGATAAAAAAAATTACTTTTTGAGTTAAGCAAGTATTTCGTCAATAACTTCTATTGAATATTTACCCACAAATAATTAGAAGTCCAATAAAAAAGTTTTCGTTGATATCGTTAAGAAAAATCTTGCTTAGTAATAATTAGATAATAAATGATTGAATAATAAAATAAATAAATTATACATTCTTAACTTAATATATTAATCACCAACTCTAATCTTTTGTAATTTTATCAATTAATAAAAAATTACTAATTAAAATTATCTGCTCCACAATCGCTATATTAGATAAAAAAAAGATATTTATCACAATAGCGAGTGTTTATAAATTGTATTCAAAAACTATAAAAGAATTTGCAAACTTGAAACAATAATTAAAATACTGGTAAAACTTGATTAGACGAAATATATAATTCAACAAATCTCTATATTTTTTTCTAGTAAAAAAAAATGGCTTCAATGTTCTGTGCAATCTCTTTTATCAAAGAAATCTTAACTCCAAATAAATTTACTTCTGGAACTGCAATTTACAGAGCAGGTGATGATGAATTCATAAAATATAAGTTTAAAGCTTTTTGATCTGAACATACTCCTTTAATTGAAGAAATATAAAAAAAAACAATAGCTCTAATTGTTGAATGATTTGTCTTCAAAAATAACCAGTTAAATGTAAGCAAACTATTATATTAATAATAATTATAATATTAAAATATAATATATATAACTTTTTACTTCTTATTAATTCTTCATATAGCTAACAATTAACCAATATATTCCTTTAAATGTCTGCTCTCTTGGAGACAACTCTACAATTTATAATCTTCTGATTGCCTCTGCATTTGGATTCTTTACAGCTCTAATACAAGATCTAGCAGTAACAAAAAGTGGGCAAGACATATTTTGACTAAAAAGAGAAGTATACAATGGGGTTACTAAAAATCAGTCCACTATGTCTATTCTTTGTAAATACTCGCTTCATAGCAGACATACAAACGTTACAAATATGATGACTCGTTAACCTATCTTTTCTATTGGTGGCGAACTTGTCCCTTTAGCAAAATCTGCTTTCATTTTATACAAAACTATTGAATAGAATTACCCTATAGCTTCACCTAATGCTCATTTTACTTATAAAAATAATAATAATCATCTAAATTATAATAATAAGCACAGAAGACAAGAAGAGTTAGAGCAAATTGTTGAAAAATTTTACTTTCACTCAAACACTCCCAACAACAGCTACAAAAACATATCACAAAGACACCCACATAAAAATATTTCAAAATCTACCACTTCTAGTTTTAACTTTGAAAATTTAAGATTTAACAATTTATGAACTACTTTAGAACAAGTTAGAGGTACATAATTAATGATCTGAAATCAAAAATTTACCAATTTTATCTTCTAACCTTAATTTTACTTTTCAACTTTTACTTAAATAATTTCAGAAAATACTTCAAATTCTACGATGCAAAAAACTATAAATAAACCATGCTTAGACAAACAAAAAGAACCTGAAATAGCAGATCAATATACAACTTCAAATACTCTTTCTGCATCTACTAATAATATTGTTAGTAACTACCAAACCAATCCACCTATACCTTAAAACCAATTTGAATTTTCAGATTATTCTGAATAATATAGTAACATATTTTAAAAAATTTAAATACCAAATTATCATTATATAATAATAATTATGCTAGCATAAATATCTATTTTGTGTACTTGCTACAATCAATAAAAAAATTACTTATCTTACAAAATTAAATTACTATTTCTATAAAAATGAGAAAAAAGTAAAATATGCCCGTAATAATGATTTATTTACACTATGATATTTATCTAACATCAAATAAAAACAATAAATTAATTAATTCATTAATTTATGGTTAGAGTGAAAGCTATGTAAAACTTAGACTAGAATGTTTTACCAAAAAGTTTCTAACTCAAAATATCATAAACAATTATTTTTGTTAGAATGCAAGAAATAACTTTATAGACAAAATTTCTAATCACTTTGATATCACATTACATCTAATCCTGCATTTTAATTGGTTGATCAAGCATAATAATATATCATTATAACACAATAATTTACAAAATTTTAAAAATAATATACCAAATTTATACTTAAATATTAAAATCTATATTATATACAATATATTCAGTGTTGCAATAAATAAATACAGTCAAACCTCTCTATAATCACACTCTTGGTTTTAAGAATTTGGTGCTTATAAAGAGTTTGTACTTATATAGAGGTTAGATTTTATAAGTACTATATAAATTTGTTTTAAAAATTTATATGATTATAAGCAAATATGACTATAAAGAAGGTGACTATAGAGAGGTCTGACTGTACAATAATAAATAAACAATAAACAATATAATTTAAAATAAAATAAAATTAACAACTATATTATAATTATTATTAGTATAGCAAAAAACAAATAGAACAATAAAACAATAGCGCAGAATACAATTTTTATAAATAAAACAAAAATTTGACAATACAAGATATATTATATATCACATATTTAACATATTTTAGTCTTTTAATAAACCATAAGATAAAACTAACTAATTGTATATACATTGAATAAATAACCTACCACAAATAATATGTATATCTAATAAAATCTATTTTGATATGATGCAGGAAGTCTATACTCAACAGTTACACGAAGTGTTTCAATTTTTTAAATGGCTATAACTTTTTATCTAAGAGGTT